CACCAAGAGACTGCTCGAGAGGTAATATCAAATTTCGGGAAAAATAGCTTCGGGGAAAATAAAACCCGTTTTTAGTAGAACAGATTAGTTAGAAAACATATTTTTGATTAAATTTAATTACGTTTAGAATTTTATTTATATATTGAATACATTAAATTATTTATACAATAAAGATTATTTACATTATTAATTTAGAATTTTGACTTCTTTTTTTCCTGACACTTAAAATAGATATTTTCAAAAATAAACTGCTGTTGCATTTTAACTTAATACTCAACAATTTGTCTAAATATGAAATAAAATATTTATTCTAATATAAAAGTTTTCAGCTCCGAATAGAGAAAAATATAAGATTAAAAGCATTAAACTAATCAAAGAAAATAATAAAAGAGTTTAATTAGAAATTTTACTTTGTATTTCATGTACAATCTAATTCCATAAATTACTAGGAAGTTTAAATTGTACACACAAAGAGACTAGTAGAAAAGCTTTCGAAATTTAAACAAAAAATACTTAAATAAAAGAGAAAGCAATTAGAATTTTTACTTTGTACTAAATGTAGATTGAAACTAATGACGAACTTATAATTAAAATATCTTACTTTTATTTGTGATAGAAATTGCAATTTATGCAACTTTTTATGAGGTAAATTTATGCAACTATTATAGGTCAATGTATATTTAATAATTTTTATGCAGAAAACCAGTATCTTAAAAAGTAGCAGTTAAAAATATTTTACTTTACAAATAAAAGAACCATAATCATTTTATGGACATTAAGAAAATTACAATGCCCATCCATAAAAAATGTAATTTTCTTAAAAATAGTAAGTGCATTTAAAACTATATCTTTTAGCCAGCTGCAAATTAAATATATACAATCTAGATAAAGGTAAAAACAGTTGAAATTTTACAAGAAAGGTTCACGATGCTAAATCTTTGCACCACAGCCAGCTGTTAGCCTTGGCCGTCTGAGCAGTTTATTCCATACCAATGCATAACATGCGCTAATTTACTGCACTAATTTACTCCTATACAACTTATCCACTTCTATGTTATGTTTTCTAAATTTGTTGCACTAAATCAAACTAATTCTACGCTTTAATATACTAGTAAAATAAAGTATTTCCAATAAAGCAACTATTTTTAAATAAAAAGAAGATAAACAAGTACTTAATGATTATATTAAATATACCTTAATTTATTTTCTAAATAGTACATAATTTGTATTCATTTTATGTATAGTAACAGAATTATATAATTTTATTAAAAATTAACACTAAAACTACTATACACTATTTTATATTTAAATACTAAAAATATTTCATAGAATTTAATTATTCATCAAACATATAAGAATATACAAATAATTTGGTTTTTAAGCATTCCTATGTAATTTAAAAAACACAACTTCTTATGTACCATATTTTTTATTTAAATATATATATTTAAAGGAAACATTTTAGAACAAGATAAATATTGGGTTTTAGTAATCAAGAGGTAAAGATATACAAAATCTTCAGAATATACAGAAATGATATCGACATTTAAAGAGAACTAAAACAAAACCGAAAGTTTACTCAACTGTTCCTTGGCGCTAAAGTATCTCGCCAAGGAAGCCAACAAAGCTTTGCAGCTATTTCAGCTAAAAATAGAATATATATTGAAATATACTTAAACATTATAAGTTTAAAGTTTAAGAAACAATAAAAACTTATGTTAAATGCAAAAAAAGTGAGCAAAAACGAGCGTAATTGATTATTAAAGCAAATAAAACATGATTATCAGAGCATGACTGAGTATCGGAAAAATTTTAAAATCAATTTTAAAATAGAAAAAGGGAAAAAAAATGTCGCCCTTTCTTGTAAAATGTTATCGGACAGTCCCTAGAAAACTTCTCCGTGCAGCAAAATGCTCAGGACTTTTGTACCATTCTTATTTCTGAATTAAAAAGACAGACAGTTAATTGCATCAGACGATCGCAATGCTAAACGAATGGACGGGAATCGAAGCGGTCTCACAGTGAACGGCAAGTTTGGGCTACAGTCACGTGACTTTATCTTGTCCACGGGTCGGGGGTTATTCTACTCTCTCTACCCAGTATTTCAACTCTATGGTATACCCCTGCCTTAGTCAGACTCTGGGAATTGGACGATTACCCAGGGCCTTGTCTTAATTTATGAGTTTATTCAAGGTGATAATCAATTTGAAATAAATTAAACTTTAAGTTTTTATACTAATACAATATAATTTAATTATCGATGTAATAATAATTTTTAGTATCACATTTGTATGCAAATTACTAATGTAATTTGCTTCCCATTCTCATTCAAAAAACCATTCAGTCCTTGTTATGTTTTTATGGTGAAGGGAATTATCATTAACCCGCATTAAAAATAACGAAACCCTAGAGCAGAACAACCAGATGATCAGAATGTCTATTTCGTTGACAGATGCCTCAACTTTGCTGTGGAAATATGCCTACTGATTTTCCTAGAAAGATTCACTTATAAAACTTGAACCATAATTACAGTAACAGATTCTCAATTCACCAATTTTGCCCTCAGTTACCAGTTAATATTAAAGAAAGCCAAATTAAGAAGAAAAAAAAAAGGAAAACTTTCTATACGTACTTAATTAAAATTTTTTACTTTTCAAGTAACAAATCACAAATGAAATAGCTATTTAATTAACTATGAAAATTGATGACAGACTAATATCAATTTGAAACAGCTTGCGTTAACAAAATCTTACATGTAACTGAACTAGTTTTTCTCCCCAGTTAGCTAATTTGAGTGTTGTTATCATTATTTTCCCAAATGGAGCGCTCGAATTTTGCGATTTAAAGTAAGCTACAAGCTATACTAAAACTGTCGCATTAAACTTTGAAATGTGTTAACCTTTAGCAACACGACCACGACACGAACTATCTTTTCGAACTACTAACTTCATATTGTTATGCATGTTAATACCGCAAATTCTTGCATCATCAAATTTAATATTTCGCTTGTTTGTTGGCATTTAATTTACCAACAAATAATGTTTATATAGCCACTAAAGCTATAATTATTTTTTGATTTGAGGACAAAAAATTGATATGAAGTTCAATTATTTTTGTTGAATTATTCCTAAGTGTTAGGAAGAAGTTGTTAATCTGAGTTGAAGTTTTTCTTTTATGTAAAATTTGCTAAAGATTGAATATCACCTTTTTGGAATAGTTTAAAACCTCTTCTTAAGTTTTTTTCGCATATTTAAGAAAACGAGATTTCTTTCTTACATATGTTGCCCATAAATTTTGTATTAACTTTTTTTCATGAAAACAGGAAGTGCATATGAAATCCTTTAAATACGTAATTTAAAATAATCTTATACAACTGGGGGATATTTCCGTATCATGATCTGTGGCGCTAACTACAATCGCCAATGTGCCAAATAGATTTTGTACTTGCAAATTTAAAAAAAAAGAAGTTATTGTTTACCCGGGGGTGGCTATGAGTCATAAATTTCGAATTGATCCCTTTCTGTGATGTTTTTCAGTTTCTCGCGGGCCACTGCCCGAAGTTGCCAAGACTTGGCAGAATTCTGCCACGGATCACGATACTGAAATCTCCCTTACGCTTGCAATACCAGAAGGAAAAAAAAAGACTCACATATAGAAGGTTAAAAGAGCTTATTAAATAAAATGTTAGAAACAATGAACATTTTAAAATTACAAAAATCATGGAGTTTTATTAAAAGAAATAAGAGAGATTTCAATAAAGATGTAAATTGTTTTAAAATTTGCTTATAGAGAAATGAGTAGTCCGTTACTATTACTTTTGGTATGCTTATTCAGTGAATTTTTAAATAGTGTGAGAAATGTTTTGTTCATTTTGCTGCGTAAAGTAGGGGTGAGCACCATCCCTTGAAGAGGCAAGCAATTTGAAAATAATTTAATTGTGTTTTCAAAGGTTTAAATAATAGGAGATTTTTGTATGGATGTCTGTGCTAATATAATCGATAAGTTTTTGGGGCACAGTAGAAACTAACAAAAAACTTCACAGCGTAGGGCAAATTTGTAAGAAAACTTGTAGTCATTTTTAAGCAAGCCACTGTATTTACAGCAACTGAGCAATAACACTTGGCGATTTCAGTTGACATAAATAGGTACCCTTATAGAAATAGATTTTACAGTAAAGCTACTGAAGATTTTTTTGGGATAATGTGGTATTTTGATCTGTCAAACCAAGCATAAAGGGCAAAGCACCAAAAGTATTTTGAACTTGTAAATTTAAGATAAAAAATCTGTAGAGGTTTGCTTCAAACTGACTGCAAGTTATACCCTTCAAGTTGGTCTTCTTCTGTGATGTTTTTCTGTTTTTAGTTTCTTGCAAAACATTGCCTAGAAGTCACAAGGATTTGGCAATTATTTTGACGTAAATCGGGACACAGAAATTTCCCCCCTTTTTTTTAAGTATATCTTTTCAGGTTTTTAAGATTAATGGCTTCATAAAATATTCTTTCGTAAAATAAAAGTAAGTTATTCATTCCTCAGAAATCAAGTAAATAAAATTTGATCAACTGGGAAAACAATTATCTGAAAATGTTCAGACTTTTTCTAGTAAATTATTATATTAGTTTATGAATTGAGAAATACATTTATGAAGTCTTTAAATGTTTAAAAACTTTACACAATTTTTTTTCTCCTTGATATTAAACTGAAACATGCTTCTATAATGTTGAAATACCTTTTCAAATATTGAAGTAAAAAGGTTTTATTAGGTGGCTATTATATCAGAATTGTATTTTTATGATCTTACATTTATAGTCTTTTTATGTTTTATTATCTTCAAATTATAGATTTCATATTTTGGATTGAAAATTTTGTCGCAATTTTTTAAAGTAATTTAGTTTTCTTATTAAAACCTAATTTTTAGAATTATGTTTATTACTTTTGTGTGATTTGTAAAGTATCATTTTTATGTAAAGTAAGATGTTATTAAAATGTGTTTTAAATTTTATTATTCATGTATTAGGTGAACAACTAAGTTTCTACCATTTTTTTTAAATGTTTGAAATTCAGGGGTTTTTAGCAACTTTAAAGGAGTTAAAATTTAAGCATTTTATCTGGCAGTTTCACTTGACGTTTGATACAAATTTTTCTGCAAAAGTTGGTTTAATTGCACTTCCTGGAATTTAACTATAAAATAAGAACAAGGTGCATCTTTAAGGTCACAATTTTTCTTTTTCAACTTTGCATACAAATCACAAGCTGTTCTTTAAGCTATCACCATATCACATCTCTCCATACACAGAATAAGTGTCAAATCGACTTTTGTGGCCTTCAAATCTTGATTAAAAGCTTGAAGAAGGAAGTGTCAAAAATGCTCATATTTCTTAACTTGACATTTGATTTTAATGATCTGCAAATTAACATGTGGAAGCTTAGTTGCAAACCCAGTATTTTTTATATCTGTCTAGGCTGTCTGTATTTTATGCTTTATTTATTGCTAAGGTATGACCTAAATTTAAAGAAACTGTTTAATTTTATAACTGGTAAGTACCCTATTTGAGAAAATAGGGTATTTCAAAATTATTATTTTTTTTGTTATTGTTTGTTTTAACTAATTTATATTACTGCTTAATATATTTAAATTATTTTGTTTATGTTTTTTATTTTTAGAGCTATTTTACTTTTAGTTTTGTACTTATTAGTAATTGCATTCATTATCTTTAGATATATATGTATATATATTTCGATCTTACTGACTGTTTTAATTACCTTTGTCAATAATTTTGAAATATTGATTAAGTTTTCTTTTTAGGAAATATTACATATTTATGGGAATTTTTATCACTACTGTTAAAAGATGAAAAGTATCCTCACTTAATTAAATGGGTCCATAAAGAAGAAGGCAAGTTTAAAATTGTAGATTCAAAAGCTGTCTCAAAAATGTGGGGTCTTCATAAAAATAATCCATATATGACTTATGATAATATGTCAAGAGCACTTAGGTAAGATATATATTTCCATGTATTCATATTGAATATTCCATAAGTGGTTTTTAAATAATACCTATTTTTTTCAATGTTTATATCACATTATTTTATAGTATGTATGGAATTTATTTGTTTTCTACTCTGCTGCATTCTTTGAGGAATGGTTTTTTCTTTCCATCATCCGCAATAACTACAAAAGTGGTGTTTGAGTTGTACTTATTTTCACACAGATAATAATTGTGATATAATGATCGGGAGATTGGGATGAGCAAAGGTTTTGACTTAATACCTTCACTAGTGTTTTTACGTAAACAAAAAACTCAGTATAAATTTGCTGATTGATTCTGAGACACTAAGCATAGTACAGGTACATTAGCATTTCAAACTAAATGTGTAGTTTAACATTGTTTCTGTTTAATGAAGGAATAAATATATGTTGTAAATTAATTTCAGTTGTGATTTTCAAAGTATCCTTCAAATGTATCTCTTGAACATGTTCTTAATTTCATTTCTTAGGCAGGCCACACACACTGAGAAAGCAAGCGGTAAGAAAGAGGCACACAAGTAACTAATTCCTATACTTAAGCATTAGAATGCGCAGAGTTTATTTACTACCTATATTTCCTTTATTAAGCATACTTTTTGAAAAATTTTATTTCAATAAATTGATTTTAAATGTTTTCAAAATTAGATTTTTAAATCTATTTTTTTTATATGAAACAAAATACATAGTCTCTCTAATTACGTTTTTTGCATTCATACGTCTCAAACATTTCGATTTCACAATAGTGTGGGTAATTTTTTTAATTTTAATTATTCAGTATTTATGCTATAATACTCTGGTGTTAGTTAATTTAAGTTCCCAGTTCTTTTTCAATGGTTTTCAATTTAGCTACTGAAAAATATTGTGGTTTCAAGCAATGTAAAAATTTTATATAAATTATCCATATAATCAAATAAAGCTTTGAAAAGCACCTACAAAATCAGCAAATAACTCTATTTAGTTGCAAGAACGTCAGAGGACAGTTTGGGATGAGCTTTCTTTGATTGGAAAAATCTTATCTTGCCTCTGTACAAGAAACAAGGACGAAGGTAAGGGAGGGGTTTAGGGGGTTCAACCCCCATTGTAAAAAAGGCAATTTTTAACATTTTCTCAATTTACTCATTTTTTTAAAAAAAATATTTTTTAAAAAAATTTCTGCCTCCTTTAAAGTTTTTATTAGTTAGAAAATGCCATCTTAAAATTCATTTTACCACATGACAAAACCAATTCACCCCTCCTTGTACTCATTCTTTAGTATGGAAAAATGTCCACAGCTTCAAATTACCCTGCTTATCTATTCATATCTTGATATTTATGGGTGTAGGTTGTAAGAGAAGATAACTTGTTTGTTTGAATGTGGTTATAAATGCTTCATAGGGAATATTTCCTAGAATTTTGTGGGAGCATTTTTGGGATTGAAAAAAGCTGTAAACAGTGGATGGAGGATGCTACAAGTGTGGTTCTAACTAATAGGTAAGTTTAAAAAGGGGGTGACTCTCAAATCGAACTCTTTCTTGACATTTAGTCATGCAATGTTTACTAAGATGTGCTCAAGTTTTGTTCAATCTTTATGGCTGTCTTCAGAACTTATCGTATATTTATTAAATATATTTTTATTTTAATTTAGTGGAATATTTCTTTTTTTTTCTTCATAACCTTTCATTAACATTTTATTAAATTTTTATTAATAATTTCCATACCTACATTTAAATCATGACACTAGTTGTGAAAATAGTTTATAACTTATTAAATTAAGTAGTGTTTGTAACGGATAAAATTGGATTGGATTTTTCAAATGCCAATTTATTTTAGAAATTAGTTCTAACTTTGGTTTTTATAATCGTTACACTGTTATATTTATTCGAAAATAACTATTATTAATAAAAGGTACTTAAATTTTATAAAAGCAGTAACTCTAAACATATGATTAAGAAAATGAAACAAATTTGTTTTCGATCAATTAAGTCATAAATATACAACAATTAGTTTCAGGTTGACAACTGAAAATCTGCTCCAATTTAAATACTTTTACATAATATATATGAAATAAAACCATTTGAGTTATTTAAAAAAGTAAGAAGGAAGTTAATAAATTAAAGGAAATAAGTTATTTTAAAGTCAGTTTTATGGTCATTGAAATTGAGTTGCAATGAAATTTAAGATTAGGATAAAGCTTAGAAGTGAAGTGTTTTTTTTTTTCTTTTATAAATACATCCCTACATTTTAAGCATTTTAAATTTGAACTTGAATATCGGATTTTGAACTGAAGATTGATTGTAAAGAAAGATTTAATTAGTCACAATTGATTATTTTTTCTTATTTCTAATAAGATAGTCATATTAAGAAAAGTAGACGAAAGGAAGAAAAAAAAAAGAGATGTAAGATATTGAAAAACAGTGCTTAAAATAAGCACCTTTTATATAACATCTATTTTTAATTTATATTGGAAACTTATAAAGAAGCAAAAGTTGTTTTATAAAAAATCCAATTTTTCAAATTTAAAACAGTATTATTATCAGTATTACTCTTTCTGAAAATTATGTTCTTCAGACGAATTAAATCTGTAAATTATGAAGAGAGAGAAAGAAATATGCAAATCTGAAACCTACAATATATTCATCCTCTTTAAAATTCTTGTAAAATTTTCATACATTGATGTCTAGATTACAGCAATCATGCTTTTGCTAAATGTAAAGAATATCACTAGAGATGAAAGTGTCTATACTGCTCTAAATGCAACTTTCATTACGTATTCAAAGAAAAGCAATCAAAAGGAGTTATAAACTATGTCCAGTATTAAAATAATGGAGAAATCAAGCGAAATAAAAAGAAGAAAGTAGCTAATGTTAATTGCTTGTGGGACACATAACTATCTGAAAAAGGTAAACTCTACGATGGACAAAAGTGCTTCAGTAGATGGCGTTTGAAATAACATCATTAAAATGTTCTTTTACTATATTTTATCTTTAACTTTTATTGTTTTCTTAACACAATAATTTAGTTCTCAACATTTGTTTTTATATCTCACACAACTATAATTTAGTAATTGTAATTGCTAACAAAATTAAAAAAGCATTTTTCATACAAATTTTTATTAAAAGTGTGGACTATTAGAAAAATTTTTTATTCACTTTCATACTTATTTTAAATAATACTCTTTTATTATTCATGCAGCTTTAAAATCAATATACCTTACTTTATCGTAAAGTAATCAAGTGAATTAGGAAGATTGGCGTTAAATAAAATTATTGTTTTTATCTCATATTTTGTTCCTACTTCAGTTTCTTTGTACATAAGTGAAAATATCAATGATATTTTACAGGGATTTTCTTAATCTAGGTACGTGTCCATGTCTGGAGGCTGTCCCTTAAAACACCCACATGTCATCTTCTTTAGAATCGTGTTTGAACATTTTTTATCGATTCAAAAGTGTTTTTTAAGATTGAAGAAGTTGTAAATAGCTCGGGATAGAAACTTTACCATGATTCAATACAAAATACTCTGTGAAGTTAGTATTGTTAGAAATAGATTCCATTAATATCCACGGGGAGGAGGCGAATTATTGTTAAAAGGATATCGTCGTTGAATTGGCTCAAAGTAAACATAAATTCTTTTTTTTTGGAGGGGACAATAAAGCATAAAATAAATCTCATGCTTAATTCGTGTCAAAGGACTTACAAAAGCAAAATTTTTGACTGTGAAATTTTTCAAGAAGGCATCCAAGGAATGATTAGAACACACACTGGCTTCCATAGTCAATTCAGTTCAATAATAAAAAATTAATAAAAGCCTGCTTGCTTTATTAAAATACAAATTTCAGACTAAAGTTACTTTTGTATTATTTTAAGTTGGATCTAATGAGACTGTACATGAGTCAATGAGACGAATAGTTTAAGAGTTGCAAGTCGTTTTATGCATAAAAAGAGCTATATTTGTCATGGTTCACACTTTTTACTTTGCTATCTAGGGACTATATTAACATGTAAGGTACATTTTCCGATGAAATTTTTTTACAAAATTGAATGAGATATAATTCGAATTTAAATAAGTTGTTTTGTAGTTACGAGATTTTCTTCATAATAAGTGCCATTCAAAGGTAATACATTTTGTATGCATAAAAAAATCCTTTTAACTTTTGAAATATATGCCTTTTTGATTCTTTTTTGGTCTTATTCGATTGAACAAAAAAAAATGCATAGGAAGCAATACCTCACTTGTCTGTATAGCTATGTAAGATATGTAAATAAGTGCAAGTACAAAATTTTATTTTTTTGTACATAAAGTGCTTAAAACTTTTAAACTATATATCTGATCGTCTTGTAATTGATCTTATATAATTTAGCGTGGTAAATAACATTGGAAAATTTACATTACATGTTCAGATAATTATTTGATATTAATTTAAATTGTATGCATAAGTCATGTTAAAAGAAGTACTGCTTATTCATAAAAACTCTTGCACCTTTTGAAGTTCTTGTTCTATTAACTCGTGCATAGTCTCATTTCTGTAAAAGTGTACATAGTAATAATGTAATACATAGCAATTGAATACATAAGAAACAATGTCTTGCTTAAATAGCAAGATCAGGTGCGTAAATAGGTATAAGTACAAATTTGTGCTTTATATACAAGAAATCCTTATAACTTCTAAACTATTATTTCAATTGTCTCAGGATTGGTCTGGTCTCATGCAATTCAGTGGAAAAACATATGTTAGAAAATATGCCTCACCTGCGTGTCAAGAAAATATTTTATTCGCCCATTAAAAAGGAAAAGTGTACAGAGGAAAGTTGGGGAGTTTTTTGAGTATCATTTATAATTATATAACAAAGCTTTCTATGGGAAAAAAAGCTTAGTTATTATTTTTCTATAACGAAAAAGTCTAACATTACTGGGCTGTAAGGTTGAAGTTTAGTTTTAAATTTATTAATGCACTACTAAATTTTAAATATTCAAGGGCAACCAATGTATATTTAAAATATATAGAGAGAGCATTAGTATTAGACCACAATTTTAAATTTAACCTTACTTCAATTTAATAATTTTGAATTTCTGAACAGCCCCATGGAAAAGTTATACCTACGTGCTTGACAAGAAACAAAGAAGAGCTTAAAGTATATTAAAATATTACAAATTTTTCTCATTACCCTCAGTTTCCAATATAGATCATAAGTTTGCAGAAATATAAGGTACACTGCTAAATCAACAAAATACTGACTGTCATTTAAAATATTCAAGTTTTTGAATAGATAGCAATGTCTTCTCACCTAATTCCCATCTGAAACATTCCTATACTGCAACAAGTTAAAATGGAAGCAATGCAAAAGTATTTTACTCTAAAAGCAAATGGTCATAATTAACAACTAAACATTGATTGTAGACATTAAAATTTTTTTGAAATCAAAGGTAAATGTATTTTGGATTTAAAGAATTTTGTATTTTTCTATTTTAATGTCTGTTATTCACTTTTTAAGGGTTCCTTGAAGATTAGACGCAATTCCCAGTTAAAATGTTGCATTTGAATATTTTTTTTAAAAAAATTCAATGCTTACTTAAAAAGTTTTTTTTACGTAAATTTTTACTATTTTGTTAATAATACACCCATTTAAACTTTTTTTAAGAAGTGCTTCAAAGTTTAAAAAAACAGTGTGCTAAAACAAGAAATAAGGATTAATGCATACAATAGACCAGTATTCTATTTTGATTCATTCTCACCTTTTCACTATTACTATAAACTCATTTTCCTGTTCTAAATCTGAAAACATATTTATTACATTCCTTCAGATTTTGATTATTTCATAACTCCTTTTAAAAATTTGATAACCCTGTTTTGATATACCAATGTTTCCATAGTTTTGTTTTTATGTTAACAAAAAAATAATTTAAGTATGAAAAATAACAATTCAATTATTAGAAAATATTATTAGTATAACGAACCAATGTGTTATTAGCCTATTTTTGTTTAGTAGGATGCCTGTAACTTTTTTGTTTTCTAATCCTTATATCGGACAATGCAGGGATTAGCACTTAAGGTTTCACTATTAATCTATTTCTTTAAGTCATTTTTATTTGTAATATAATCAAGCAGCCTGGTGCACAATGATAAGTCAATAAAAGTGGAAACAATGTTTTGATAGCTTTTTGACCAATTTTTAGTGACTGATTTCTCTTTGAATGTGTCTTCTGCTGGGGGATTATTTTTCAGTGCAAGAAATTTATCAAACTATACTTCTGGAACTTTTTCAACAGACTAACTAGATGGATTAGATTTAATTTTAAATTCATATCAGAGTTCAGAAAATCATACCCTAAATTTATTTTGTGTGTTGCTGCAAAAATCAAGTGTAATCAGACTAAACTCATTCCTTTCTTGAAAATATGAAATTCTTATCTAATGGGGATGTCCCCTCTATTTGGGAACCATTGTAGTAGACTTTGATTATGTAAGATCACTATTGAACAGTTAGGGTGATATTCTTTGAAACTATTGCTTTTTCCATGCTTTTGAATTGTTTCACACGAATTATGTGATTAAATAATTTCTTTTCATCAATACATAGGAATTCCTATTCACACTATGTGCTTTCACGCAATTTAAAAGGAATCATTGTATTGGTGTAGTAAATTATAATACTGAGACGGTTTAAAAAATTTAATATTTTATAAAAAGCTTGATTTTTGAAATGTTACAGCATATTTCTCCTCGCTAAAAAATTCCAATGTTCAACATACCTGGGTTATGTAAAAGTTCTGATTAGGTATCTGATTCTGATTGCATTTATTCTAATTTGTGAGTTCTAATATAATTATGTAAAAAAATCAATTTTAAAAACTATGTGAAAATCTAAGCAATAATTGCCGAAAAAACAATAGTAAAAACCACATGAAATTATGATGAAATCATCACAAATTGCAAGTCAAAAAGTTAATCCCATTAGTGATTTGAAATCATGTGCAACAATAATATAATATTAAAAATAGAAAGATTTAAGTACCATAAAGAAATGCATCATCATAGCTGCCGAAAAACCAAACGACAAGACTCTGACATGCCAACTGCTCCGGACACACCAATATAATTAAAAAAAACGGTAAATAACTACAAAGTAAATTTTGCAAATATATGACTATTTTCGCGTGCTTTTTAAGAGTTATAGCATGACAAAACTATAAAAAGTGGTGAATTATATAAGCCTACAAATTATTTAGAAATAGTGGTGGATAAAAATCTTCTAAATTAAATTTATTAAACCAACAATAACAATTGATAAACTACCACTTTAAAATACTTATTTGCTGTCCGGAGTAAGTTGGCATCTCTGAAGACTACGTAAATTTCTAAATTCTGGATTGGAGAGTATTAAAAAATTTCTCTATAGCGACTCAAAATTTGTTTGTAGTTATATAGTATTGAAATATCGAGGTTGTCAAGATCATGTGGAAAATTGTAGACTTTCTGTTAAAAGAATGAACAAAAACCAAATTCTTTTTTTATACTTTTGGGCCTGTAACTTCAACTCTGGGAGCTTAAAATTAGAAAATCTAAAATGCTGAATTTTCAGTAATTCAGACCTTCCAAAATATCCAGATATTCAAGGTTATGCGGTATTTTTTTGTTACATATTTCTGTTCATCATATGGTAAAAAAAAAATAAACAGCTACTTTTTTTTCAAAAGAGTCAATTGATTATTGCCTGAGATTCATGTACCCTTTTAAGGGCCCCTATTGTTGAGCCACTGTTTGAAGTAGAACGTTGCAAATTTTTTATTAATTAATTTTTTCTTATTTTATTTAACACACTACAACTTACAACGGCTATTCATATCATACTTATATTTTATTCTATGTGTGTTACATGTAATTATTTGAATTAATAAGTAAAAATATTACAAAATCTGTAAAAACTGCTTTATTTCACCTTCTTTAAAATTGAACTGTGTTTTGTTCAGTATTTAAATATATTAATTTTGAATAATATTTGTCTTAAAATTTCATGTTGAATATTTAATTAGATATATGTTGTTGATAAAACTCATATGTTATGTTATATTTTTTAAGTATCTTACCTTTCAATTTGTAGTAATTAAATAGGAATTTTGCAGGTATTATTATCGGCAAGGTATAATAGCAAAAGTTCAAGGTCAACAATTAGTGTATCAATTTCTTCCATCATTGCAAAATAACTTTCCTGTTAACATTAGTAAGATTGAAAAAGAAAGTAAGCACTGACGACTGTATTTTCTTTACAATCAAACATTGTGTAACCATCCAGCTATTAATTAGAAAGAGTAATAAAAATCCAAATATATTTCATGCTTAACTGCTCGGTTAACTTAGTATTTGCTCAAAGTACCTTATGTGTATGCAAGATATTATTATTATATCTTGCATATACACATTATTATATTTTATTATATTGGGAATTATAACTTACAAAGCCTAAATAAATCAGTATATGCAGAAATTTAATGGATATTCAAATTATTTAAAGGAAAAAAAATAATAAAAAAAAGAGAATTTCAATGCTTGTTGTGAAACACAAGAAAGTAATGAAATTGGCCCAAAAATATGGTTTTGAAAGAATTATATTATTTAACATTTTAATGATGAACTGTCTTTCCTTATTTTTAGAGTCGAACAAGTTACTGAAACAATAAAATCTTTTTTTATCATTAATTTTCAACTACTGAATTGACTTAAATGCCCGGTGAATGATATTTTTGATTGTGATAATTTTTTTAATAGATTATTATTGAGGCCCCAAACATTATTGAGGAAACAGAATTTATATCTTTAGAGTATCCTTTGTCAGACTGTGAACACTCATCTCCATTGCCCTTTAAATCTAGTAAAATTAAGCAGTAATTTCTAATGATTTTTTTTAAAAACATTTTTGTCCTTCCTTACTATTGGGTGCTTGTATCATCCCTGACCTTAATAGTTTCAACTGTTTCCAAAATGAACTGTTTCTGTCTTTGATTTCTTCAATATTTAGTTTATTTATATTTATTAATATTTATTATTATATTTATAAATTTGGTAGAATAGTTAAAGTTCCTATTTTTTTAGTATTCATCAGTAGTAGTTGCAGCAAAATTTCTTTTGGAATTGTTTTTTCAAACACATGCTTTTGCTAAACATTTATAAAATATGAAAATATTAATTAAATGGGTGAAATATGCTTTGACAAACATTTGATGGCATTTTTATGCTCACACAAAAATAGCTACATCTTTATTTTTTAACATATTTGATTGAAAATATAACGGCATATGTATTACTAATGAAGTTTCAGTAATATTATGTTCAGTTTTTTCTTGAAATTTCTTACAAATTTTTTTTTATGCACACATGAAATTCTTCCAATTTTTGGCAGAATTTCCAACTTTCTGAACTTATTTGTCGATTACAGCATTTGTATACAAATATTAAAAAGTGCAATGAAATTTTCCAGAGAGAAAATAGTGAAAAAAAAAATGCTGTGTTAAATGTCTACTTTTGTCTTAATATTTCTACATTATTTTGTTGTTTTATATTTTTATTATTTCATTCTCTTTAATAATCATAATTTATATATAAAGCTTAACAATTTGTTGGACTGTCAATGTACATCTGTAGTTAAAAAAAACTTCTAAGTAAGGATGTAAATAATTTAAATGTTTTCTTTTTGTGCAATTATTTTCACATTATTTATTTATTTTTTCATGGTTGAGTTGATGAGTATTTTCAGACTTTTTGTTCTTTTCTCACTCTCTTTAATAAAGAGTTATTCTTTAAAAAATAGAAACCTTGCTTTTTTTTTTAATTTTTTTTCTAAACAATCAAGCATGTCATGATAAAATTGTAATACAGTTTTACCTGCCCACAAAAATGTTTGGAGAAAATTTGAGCAATGAATATCGGAAATAGCACAGCTGTTCACATCAACTCCCCTTTGCCTTCTAAAAATTCAAGTAAATTGATGAAGATATGTATGAAAATTAAATATTATTAGTGCCATGTGCATTTAAATACTAGATATTTTAACTATGATATTATTACTTTAAATCTCTCATATTTTTCTTAATTGAAGTTTAATATAACATTTTTAAAGAGTGATACAATGGTTTTGATTTCATGTTAGTTACAAGTTTCAGCTCTCCTTCTTTTTGCATTTTTTATTTTATTACTGAAACAATAAGCTTGTTTTTGTATTGCAAAAGTTGTGTGGTCATCATTGAATGTCAATTAAAAGTTTATTTTGATATATATCATCTAGTAGCAGTGCAATATATATAATTCATCTTAAATGTTTCATTTAAATTTTTTCTAAAATGCTATATTATTTTCCTTTAAATGCAACACTTTACTGCTTTTCTATTGTTGTTGTTATTCTTTTATAATATTTTAATACCAAAATATATACATATTTTAACAATTATAAGCTAGTTATCTCCTAAAACATAATCATATGTTGTTTTCACTTATTGAAATATACATAATGTCCAAATTGTTAAACTCAGTGGTTTTTCAAATTTAAAATTAACTTTTACTGATTGTTCATTGATCAATTTTTATTTTGTCAAAATCAACGAAAATTTTAGCCATATTGTGTATTGATTAATTATATAATTTACAGGGTTGTTACTTTTCTGGAAAAGTTTTTAAAGAAATAAACTGGTAGTAAGAACATTTCCTCAGTCCTTATTTTTTGGGAAAAGTAAGCTATTTGAAATTACCACTACTTATTTACACTGTTGATGCACATATAGATGATATACATGTTTTACTTGTTAATAATTAGTGGTACCCACAGTGAGTTTACTTCTCCTGAAAGAAAGGTGGAAATGAAATGTTCATATCAGTTTTTCATCTTTTTTTGGATTAGTAGCAGTTCTAAACTTTAATATAGTAAAACCTGTCACATTGACCACATTTGTATGTTGACCTCCATTATCAAGAACCAAATTTATCCTATTGTAATAAAATGGTGCAAAATCTTTATAATTTATTCCATCTGTCTTATATGTTCACCACTGAAAATCAGATTTATCAAGGAGTGTTTTTCTAAGACTTTTATAAGTTAACCTAAAAAAAAGGGTAAAAAGAGAAGTGCAGATTAACAAACAAGTTGCTACAAAAAAGTGGTTTTACCAATAGGGGATGGGAAGTGAGTGCGGTGGTAGCAGAACTTCTAATTATTTAGTTAATTACACTTCTATCTTTACATTCTTTTCTGATGTTTCGAAATTCATTTTATTTTAATTTACACATGTTGCTCATTTGGAGTTAGAAAACCATGTAAACAAATTGAATTTCTCTAACCTCAAAACCTATAGCCGATATTTATAGGTAGGGTATTTATGGAATTTCTTGTCAGTATGGTCTTGTGTATGTTGAACAAACTGAACTATCCCTTAAACTTTAATTTAAAGAAAATTACAGACATTTTCAAAATTTATATATTAAACAATCTCCCCAGATAGCTGGAATTCTAATCATAGGTTTAAGTTTTCTTCTCTTAAAATTATTCAACACTGCTTTTGAATCACTGACATTGATATCTGGGAAGCATTTTATACAGTGAACTCTTGCTACTACGATATCCAATACAACAACTCCCTTTATTGCGATAGTGTTTTGTGGTCTCGACTAACTTGCATATGAATTAATTTCATGCTCCTCTCAATATTACAATATTCTCTGAAGCAATAAACCTCTGTAAAACTATTTTTTTTCAAAATTATTATTGCTTTTCAAATAATGTGAAAAATCTTATTTATAATCTTTTGCCATTTTTTCCATCTTTTCTGCCAAGAGAAGACTTACTTCTGACCATCCCAAGAGCTTCCATTCTTGGCATTGCCTCCCTTATCTCTTAAGAAGTCACAGATATAAACCTGAATTCATTTCCTTGATGTTAAAAGCTGATCATGAGTCACAAATGACCACAAGTATCACATTAACACCTGAAAGAGAGTTTGCTCTGTAGAGGGTGGGTGGAGCATCATTTACAAGTCAAAAATATTTTCGTGTTTTGGACTCGATGCATACTTTATTGGTTGATTTGACAGTCAAAAAAGTGAATGAACCAACAAAAATATCAGATTACTTTCAATTAAAATTGTTTTCAGGTATGTTTGCAATTTTCTGAATTTATTTCAATTGTTTTTTAATAATTAACCATAATTAACACTCTGCAAATTAATTTTTTGCATAATATATAAATACATTCATTGTTAATACATATATAACATTAAAATTTAAAAAAAAATCTTATTGTGTCCCCAAATTATGTAAGCCCTCGATATAACAATATATATCTCTACAACAATATATTTATTTTGTTCCCAAAATATTGTTGTAGCGAGGTTTTACTATGTTTAAAAAAATTCTAATTAATTGGTTAATGACCTTTTTATTTTCCACTTCTTGTATACTGGAGGTTCTCCTCATATCCCCACCATACCTGTTTCTTATCATTCTTCCTTTTGCTTGATTCTCTTGTTCAAACTTGTCTTCAGTCTTCTATTAATTCAACCATTTTTTCCTTGTTGAAACTTGTTAGTAATATTCCTTCTATACCTCCCTGACAAAAGGTTTTGACTGAAGTATGTCTGTTTTGTGACTTAATTTATGTCTTAGCTTTATTTCCAATGGGATAATGTTTTTCTAAATTACAAGTTCGTTGTGTAACATAGATTTGCATTCTTTATATATAAATAAATATTTTTTGTTTATATTAACTATTTTTAGGAAATGCATAAAATTATTAATGATAATTGAAAAGTAATAGCAATTCTTATTTTAAAACAATATTAGATTATTTTTCTAAATATCAATTCAGTTGATTGTTAATTTAATAATTTTACTTAAAAGTTTAGAATTGTATTTTCCAATGTTTGGTTTGGAGAATTATTAAATAATTTATAATTTTTGTTATTTTGGCCTTTTTTACTTTTTTAAATGTTTTAAATAATAATTAAAATATTTTGTTCTGTTTTTTTATATTTTTTATAATTCACTCAATAATTATGTTTTACTTTGCAAAAATAAAAGGTTGTGATTAAAAAATGCGAGTTTTGAAATATCTTTTCAAACTAGGATCTTGGAGAAATTCTTTTTTTTTTTCTAAACTTTTTGGTAAGTTTCTTTATTTTTTTATATTGTAAAGTTCTGTGATTGACTTAGAATTTTTAATAAAATCTTTTGTTTTTATTTTTAAATCATTGTCTTTTATTTTAAATAAGCATGACTTCAGACAATCATGTGTTCAGTTTTAAATAAGAATGATTAATTTTCTATTCCTATTTATTTTTACTTTATGGTGATACAATTTCTTTTAAGAATATTTTAATCTCAATAAATCTATTTGGTTTAGCAAAAGTTTAAGAAGTAAAGCAGTTTAATTCAAAGAAAAGGTAGCTGTGCAGCTGTATCCCTTATATTCCTCCTAAATGTTTTTGTTACTATTTTGCTTGTTTTACGCAAATTCTTTAAATGATGTCATGATATAAATAAGCTACAAAGCTGAATTAAACTTATTATTTTAGGTTTGTTCTACCTATACTGCGATCTTATATAAAGCTACACATTGTTCAGATTTTTACTTTACTTTATGTAGGCCAATAGTCTGCAAATTGTTCTATAACGTTGTTTGCTCACTTTAAGTCCAAATCGAAGGCAATCTCAATTCGCAAAAATAGTTACAGTTTACCAACCCATGTCATAGATCTTTAGTGTAGATAATCTTTTTTACTGCTTATATGAAGTCATTTGTGCTATAAATTGTGTTGGGTAATTTCAGTCAATTTGCACATATTTACTTGTATCATGTATTTTTAATTTTTTTTAAAGTATAGTTATTAAAAATAGCATCTTTCATGACTTAAATTAATGGATGCAGAACCGGATAATTTTTACAATGAAAACTAACATGAGGTAAAAATATTTTGAGAATGATTAGTTTACTCAATAAGACGATGCAAAACATCCCAAAAAATAATAAATCTAATTTTGTATCTGGTTATTTTATCATAATAATTCAAACTTAAAGATACTTGCTTGTATCATAAATTTATTTTAAATATGCAAATGATACCAAAGTAAACTAAAAAGTCTTATCAAAAAAGGTTAAGAGTAAAATTTTGGGTTTAAAAGCATATGTTCAACTGTATGAATAGAACATTTTTTCCTGCCACACCATTAAATAAGAGTATTTTAAATGTGAAAATAGGTTCCTTAAAGATCTTGCTGTAGCTGATGTTTACAAAAGTTTTAATTTAACTTTTTTTCCACAAAGCTTTTGATTGTAATTATTATTTTTTTAAACTTGAAGTTTTGTTATCTACTTTATCTTGTTTTATTTCATGTGATTTGAGCCAAATTTAAACTTATTTTTTACGTAATCTTAATGTAATTCTACATTAACTCTCTTTCAAATGGTAAATTCAAAAATAGATTATATTTATCAGCTTTTTATCTAATACCATTTTTGAGTTATTATGGCTAAAAAATCAATTTCTTAATTCACTTATTGAAAAAAGTTTTTTTTTAAAAGTTAACAATAACCAGTAAGAAAAGAACAGGCAAATATGGGTTCCATCTAGCACCATAGAGGACATATGAATACTTTATTTACGTTCATACAATAAAAACAAAGTTTTCTGCTCTTGCACATTGCAGTAGAGGGTAGGGAAGTTAACACCAACATAATCTCTCAGGAAATTTGCTGCTAGACAGAACTAAAAAGGAATTTATGATACGATCAGCTTTCACCGTCAAAATTGATGAGTACTACCCGTGAGAAGAACAGAGCACTAAGTCCATGGAGCACATCTTTTTTAGCTTTACAAAAAAGATGTCAGCACCATATAAGTCTGCAATCTAAGTGAGACATTCCATAGAGTCTATTTAATAAGTTTTCTTTTTTTCTTTGGATTAGTGAAACTTTCTACACGTGATATGTTCCATCAGTTCTGGAAAAAGATACATCAAGGCTGTCCATTCTGTATTATTTTGATTACAATAAACATTTTCATAAAACATTATGTTTAGGATTCAAGAAGAAAAGTTATTTGCATAGATTCTTTTGTAAACGAAACCTAATCTACTTTTATATTCAAAATGTGATTTTTTGCCACAGGCTTACTGCTTTTATACCTTTCCTTTTCACAAGCTAGTCACAAAAATATTTATTCTGCACCTTAAACAACGCAAAGCAGTAGCATGTGTAACAATCTGTAAATAAAATTTTGAAACAAAATAAGTATAATATTGATTTATCCCCCAAATAATTTTGTTTCTAGTTTGTGCATTTCTATACTAAGTTTCTGGACATAAATGAGGTTTTCCCATGTTTTGAATGGAAGCTTTCAAGTTCTCTTCTGTACCATGAACTTGAATCAAACTATGTTCTTCTCAATGTTCTTTAAACATATTTGCAATTTAACTTTTCAGGTTTTTTTTTTATATATATATTTTTGTTATCTAGGATTGATCATAAATTAGTTTTGAGCTCTTCGTCAGCAAGATGATTCAGGGACTACCCAGGGAATGGGCTTTTTTGCTTGAGTTCCACGGTTTGATTGAACCTCGTTAACTCCATTTGAGCCGCTTGAGTTACTACTTCCACTCCCAGGAGGTGGTGCTAAAAAACATAATTTATTATTAAAACATATTTTTAAAATAATGGCACATTTTAAATTTTTTTTGGATAAAATGAAAAAAAATCTTTTCAAGACAACCATTTAAATCACAAAAAGTTTCTGATATATCCATCAGAAAAGGCTTGATAATATAGTTTTTTGATAAACATAATTGAACTAAGAATATTTATAGGTGATGATTGTTTAACAACTTTATATTGGTCACAGCAACTTCTTTAAAATTCAAATATTGAAAAATTATTTTAACATATTATTTGACACACTATAAGCTTTCTGATTTTTTTTTTTTTTGAAATTCCATAGAGGCATTCTACTAACGTTATTACCAATTTTATGAAGTTATTAATGATAGATATTTTGCTTTACATAGCTGATTAAAAATCTTGCAACAGGTGGTCTTGCTATTATTAAAAGCACGTTTTCTTATTTACTACGGAACACAAGTTTAAAGTTCTGGAAAGGTGACTGAGTGGTTAGCGTGCCTGATTGCGAAGGCATTGACGGAGGGTTCAAATCCCGGCATGAATGTTTCTCTGTGTGTTGTCCTCTGTTGTGTGAATGTGACCCACCCTATGAACGGATATGTGTGGCGGGGGTAATGTTGCTCTCCTCCATAACTTAGGTTCACAGGTGCCCACCAGGTAACAATAAAAGAGCAACAGTTACAGCATCTTCTAAGGTGAAGAAAGTTCCGTGCCTGCCATTATTTAAAAAAAAAGTTCTGGATAAAGCATTTAAACTGTGCTCTCAAGAAATCAAATAAATAAATAAATGCTATAATTATTTTACTACTTCGAGGTATTTATCTCAGAAAACATATTTTGTGCATTGAATTATTTTTGATTTACAAATTTTATAAAAATGCGAAAAATTTTATAATTTTTGCAAATAGTTCCTAACTAGAGTTGGATGATATATCATGAAATATCAATATTTTTTAAAACCTCGACAGGAAAAATATGTTATCACCGTATATCGTGAGTATGTTGAATATATAGATCCACAATAAACATTGAAAAATATGAGCACTCAATAAGCACCTAAAATACCGAGAGGCGAAAATACTGTCATTCCATAAATACCAATACTTGAAACTACCGATACTATATTGTGGCTCAATGAGTAATGTCTACTTAGTGGAGGAAGAAAAAAGAAAACCTTTTTCTACAGTGTGTCGCGCTTCAAGGACAGTGGCCACAGAGCTTTGTTTTATTTGGCACTATTTTAGTGTTTTATCTTGGATTTTAGAAATTAATAATAATAAATGTTGATTTTTTTTTTGTTGAAAAATTAACCTTACTCATTAAATTTTTTTTTATAGATCATAGAAAAGCCTCATAAAAATTAACATTTTTCTGGCATGATTATGTCAGAAATTTCGATTTATAAGTTGCAAAAGTATATTAATTTATTTTTTAATTAATTATTGTTTGTTACAAGAATGTATAATTTGTGAAAAGAAAATTATTTGTTTTTTATAGTTTCTCATTAAATGTTATTCTCCCTGAAAAATTAAGAAAAAGGAACTTATAAAAGGAAAATAACTTAAAATCAATAATGTATATTTTGTAGAATGTTGCATACTCGTAAACATTATTGAATGTTTATTTTCAATATTTGGTAGTTGATATTTAAGATTTCTCAATGAGTGAAGAAAAATAGTCATTTTATTTGCATTGCAAAAGATTGATAATTAGGATATATCGTTAGAATTATAAAAGTTTAGAATTTACAAATTATTTGTTAATTATTCTGAAGAAAAGCTTGTTTCAATTTGCTTAAAATATGCTTAAGGATTTAACGTCCCCCATCTGGAATTATGCTAATTATATATAATTTCAGTCACAATTAGCTTAGAACATTAAATCGATTAACAGCTATAAACATTAGGTAAAAATTATATATTTTAGTTCAATATTATTGGGTATAATATAACTAATATTTAGATTTTCAAATTATATTTTTTTTATCTTGTTTTTTTGGATATAGATCAGCAATCAAGATTGACTTAAAAAGTATTAATTTAATGTATAAGAATGTGTGGTTTTACTCATTACAAAAACTATATTTTTTCTCTCTCTTACTTTATATATTTTTAACTTTAATAATTAATCTGTTATCTTTAAAATTATGATTTTCGAAAGTAATTTAGAAAAAAAAAATTTCCCTTCATTTGGACAAGAAAATATTATCAAATATAAAGACAGGTAAATAATATTATTTGAAAACATCGCGATATGTTGTAAAATTTCGATATTTTCTGACAAAATATATCGTGATTTTAAAAACTGCAATATCACCCGCCACTATTCTTTACGTGTAACAGCATACTAGAAGTAAAAGTAACATTAAATGGGGCCAACTATTGAGACTTTAATTCTCAGATTGCAGATTCTTGTGTCTGATATTAAAATGTCGGCACTAATTATTGCGTATGTATTTCCATGTGTGCCCTTTAAACCATAAAAAGTAAGAAATTGTTAATAAAATCTATTAATATGATCAAAAATTACGATTTAAAGTATTTCTTTTCCTTTTTCAGACTGTTGTTCTCTTGAAAGAGCTAAGGGCCAGCTGTATACCCTTCAGATACTAAATACCTAAGCTGACTAGCCTTCATGGGAATTTAAAAAACTGGTAGCTGAAAAATGGTTAAATTTTTTAAAAAGTTTTGAAGGTTTAAAGTTATTTAAAAAGTATTTTTTTCAAAAAGAATAACATTATTTACTATCTCTTATAGAATGTATTGTCCTTATTCTTATTATAGATTTTAATGTGCAGAAGTAATTCATTATATTTCATCTGATAATGATTATGAATCTTTGTTAAAAATGGTCAAATGCCTAAATTTTAAATGGATAGAATTTTTTTTAAAAAAAACTTATTTCTTAATTAATATTTTCCAATTTTTTTTTCAAATTTGTTTGTCATTTAACTGTTATATCATTTAACTGCAATTTTAACTGTTAAAGAAAATGTAAATTTTTATGTCTTTTTATACAAAAAGTTTCAACCATTATAAGGTAAAATCATAAACATTAATGAAAAAATATTAAAAATTATTTTTGCATGAAACTGACCTTGAGTAAGCAGGTTTGATAAAAAGAGGCAACTCTTATTTGCATCAGGCATATAGCTTTAGATATAACTTTTAAACCACAAAAGTAAATAAATAAAAATCAAGGTATCAAATTTTAGGCTTACTTTCTGACTTTTTTTTTTTACTAATGGCAAATTATGAAAGTTTTTCAAATTTTTAAAAGCTACTTTAAGAGTTCATTAATTGTATACAAATGTTCATTATTTCTGGATAAGTTTTATCTAATGCTATATTTGAGTTATAAGCCATTAAAAGTCAGATACCTCGTTTAGCAGGCCAAATTTCTAGCAGATACTTGAAAATTTCAATTGGTTTTCGCAGATCAGCTACTGGAGCTCCAGTTTCTGTATGACACATGACAACAGGGCCAAAACATATTGCCAAACTTTGACTGCTCATTTTGTTGCGGTCACTGTGGCTAGTAACTAGCTTTAAGTGATCCATCAGATACAGCACTGTACACTAAAAAAACAGACTCTATGTGAATAATTTTATTCAGTTGAAATCATACATAGCCTAAACACTACTCTACTGGAGAAATGTTTAAGAAATTGTTCTATACATACAGTTTTTACTAGCAGACAAATAAACAAAGCAACAACAACTATTAGATGTATATTTATTTTCTATTTCTCAAAAATATTTTGACCAATTTATTTAATAGCTTGTCCTTTTAGAAATATTTAGTTTAAGAGGATGCATAATGTTATATACTTTTTGATTTATTATTTTTAAATTAAATAATCTATTAAAGTTTATTAATTTTTTTTACAGTCAAACAAAGTTTCAAACTCGCTACAAAAATTTTTGATTAGCCCAATCGGTTACAGAAATCTGTCAAAAAGGGCAAAAAAATAATAATAAATACATATTTATTGACCAATTTTCAACTGACTGAATTATTGGGAACTTTATTTTCCACTTTGCTGCTATCCCATTCTATATTTTGAGTTTCAAAAACTCAAGCCTGTTGAATGAAGGATACATTTATCAAGAGAAAATACATATTTGTGTATATTTTTCTTAATTTAGTTATTATGTGGAACTAGTTATTTATCATATTCAATATGTTTCTCTGAAATGATTAAGATGGCATTCTAAGTACATAAAATCTGATCATTATATTTATTAGGGTTAATTTTTTATCCTAGTTCACTGTACACTCTATCAAATTTTTATTATTTATCCTGAATCTTAGAGAAATTAATTTTGAATAAAATGAAACTTTTAATGATCAGCTGTGTCAGAAAGATATCTTCTACCTGAAATTTTGAGCTAATTTTCTAAAAGTTTATCTCTTGGTCGAAGAATTAATCTCTTTTCAAATAATAGCATAACATTAGTTTCAGCTAACTGCTTTTAAATATTTGAAAATAAAATATATATATATTTCAGTAATAAAATTTAATTTGGCATTGCTTAATCTTAAAATCTGATTCTTCAAGGAATGTATTTTCCTTTTTTGAAAACTGTTGATTAAAAACTTGTAAGATTAATTTAAAACTGGAGTAAAATGAGAATGATTACATATGGTATATAATCAGAAATATGATTTGCCAAGACGAACACTTACTCTATTGACTTTGGGTAGACAATCTAGGATACTAAACATAAGCTTTGCATTTCCTTCAGGATCTTCAGGTAGACAGACACTGAAGCCATCCACAAGCATATCGAATAAACCTTTGGTGAATAAGGGTTCTGGTAATTCTCTAAGGTAGTCTTTTAGTACACCTAAAAGAAATATTCATTTCATAAATAAAGCAACTTTTTTTTAATTTTATATTAATTTATTTTATTTAGGGTTTTGCTGTTCTCGAATGTGATTAATTTGAGATTTATGATGCAGATTTTAGCTGTCTGAAAATGCTAATCTTTGTTTCAAAATATTTTTGTCGTACAGTTTAGCTGTATATTAATTCCTTAAAACTCGGATGGTTTGTTACACATGAACATGCATGTGCATTATAACTGTCAAATAGTTATTTTGTTTGCATTTATCAACCTATCTTCATACCAAATTTTACGTTGCTTGGTCCTCTAGTACAAAACAGTTAATGACAGTCTTTGATTACGGTTTTTGTTTTTTTCTTAATTATTAATATGCTCTTCTAAGTGTGTAGGGTTTTATAATATATTTTTTGACAAAAATTCAATAAAAAAGAAACAAGGACAAAGGTTACAGAGCGTCTTATCTTATTCTTATCCATACAGTATCTTATTCCACAACAAATAACGGCACCATAAAATGGTATCAGCTCAAGAGTTTAACGAGAAAAATTTTTTCCACTTAATCTTAACATATGCACATTTTACAACATTGTAAAAAATCGTACCCTCAATTGAACCTACATTAGTTAAATATGTGTTGTTTAAGTTATAGCCAATTGGTAGAATCTTGAAAGGGTTGTCTGCGAGCACGAGCTTTGAGAAAATTTATTTCATCTTACTCTTGTGTCAATCCAAAAAATATCAAAATTATCCTTATAGTAAAATCTTAAGATTAAAGACAATATTATGGTGAGGTTATGTTTATTAAAAGAGAACATCTTACTGTTAAAGCGAAGGACGGATTAAGTATGAAGAATCATTCTCTTACGTGATTTCCGATTTGATGATTGATTAAAGTATGACGACGAACGGAACTGAGACAGGCCCTTAATATATCAAAATGTTCATATTTTACACTGTTTTGCATCTTTAATTTAAACTGCATTTTATCATAAAATGGATCTACGATTAATACCTAAAAAAAAGAGTGGTCTAATTGCAGTCAGAGTGTACTAAAGACGATGCTATCAATAACTTATTTTTAGAGCTGAAACTTAGAGTAGAAAAAAGCAAAGGATCTTAAACAAACAAACCTCTTATCAATTTTTTTATCTAACTAATTTTTATGATATAAAACTAACTGCAAACTTAAACTAAAAACGTAATTTTTAATTTATTTAAAATATTTGTATTACTAATAATTCATAAATCTATTTTTACTCATAATTATATCAGTAGGGATCATTTTTATTGACGCTAACATAAGTAGCATTTCTGCACCAAGAAAATGACATTGATTAAAATTCAAATCGTTTGTTAAATCCGTGTACCTTCGATAACATTTTGAAGCTAACGAGGGAGGTGACCCCAAAGAACGACCATTTTACTGTGGAACTGAGTGGACGCTTCCGAGAGGTTTCACTGTGTAACAACCCGGTAGGATGATAAGTAATTTTTGCAAGGGCTCTAGAGTCGGCCGGGTATTTAATTCAATTTCCATCATGTATTCGGATTAGGCTAGTTTTTTAGATCCGGGATATCTGTAGTTCAGTATTACAGGAATTTGTATTTCTCTACCTCTATGTGAGATCGAGACTGGAGACCTAGATTTGAGTGGTTTAATCAATTGATGCGACCGAAGAACAAATGCTCATTCGAATACTATTTTTTATATCTTATGTGATAGGATCCCGAGTACTTCAATTATGTCGAAATTAGTTCTTTCTTGCTGACTAACTCTGAATTACACTACTTTACTAGTCAAGAAGAGTCACGGCGTCTGTGGAGACAAGTTTGCTTTACTATGTTCTTTTGTTTTTAATCAATCCTTATTTTTTGGTCATTACATCCCCCCCCCCTTGAGTACGGCCTTGATCACATGAAAATTACATGCATGTGATCTTAAATTTTCATATAAAATAGAAATGTATGCTATTTTTTCACTGAAATTCCAGTTTTTCTCATAGAGTTAACAAGTGTATCGGGTCTTACGTTACTAGTAGGGTAAGATCGAGTGATTTGACTTTATCTAGAAATTTTTTTTTTACAGAAAAAGTACATCTATGATTTTTTAGGAGTGATATATTGTATGCAATTAAAAAATGAATGTCTTGATTAAATCCGACAGTTTCCAGGTCGAACAGTTCAGCTTCAACAGGCACTCGAATTTTAGCCTATCCATTCTTATCCCACTTCCCCCTGTGTATAACACTGTAACTCTTTTTTAATGTTTTCCTCATTGTGCGTTTACAAGTAAAAAATTTTTGAGAAATTATCGTTTTGAGGTAGGTCATTTTATATATTACCTTACGGCTTGATTTTTAAATGTTTTTTTTTTTTTTTTTTAATAAAACTTTTCAAAAATTGTCACAATCAAAAAATTGAATGGAGCAGAAAAACCTATTAAAAATTCAGAGGGAAATTGGTTAAAATCCTATAATAAAGAAATTTAGCTGTTTCATTATAGCAACTGTTAATATCGCAAGGTTACGTACGTATATTTTACACGTGCTTAATTGAGAACCAAGATCTTTTTGTAGTTATTGCTCAGCGTTGATCTCTCTAACAACTGTAAAATGCGAATAATATTACAGTGGTGTTCATTTTGCATTAAATTATCTCATAACTGTCGAATGCGAATAAGTTAACAGTGACGTCTACAGAGAAATAAAAACAAACAACTTTGTTAAGGCATAATTAGAATAAATTAGCTAATGAATAAAAATAGAAAATTAGTTGCATGATTTAACAATAAATAAACCCTTGGCATTTGTAAAAGTTTTACGCATTTGCTTTAAATATTGAATTAAGATATAAGCTCATTATTATAAGACTTGCGAACCAAATAAAGTTATGAAAGAAAATTATGGAAAATAGAGTTTCAGTTAAATATTTGATAGGAAAAATATTTTATTAAACTATCGTTTTAAAAGGTTCGGTTGTTCAGATAAAAAGTTGACTTCATACATTTTTATTACCATACAACTGTATGTTTTATAGATAACGCTACGATTACCCATAAATAAAATTTTATGAAAATATAATTTATAAATACGCAAAAATGATTGCTATATGTGGAATTTAACAAGTAGTGCTTCAATTTTATAAATATTATTGATTTTTTAATCAAAATTTAAATTTAATCTTTAGAATTTGAATTATTTAACATCGGCTTCGAATTTGACTGAATAACAAGACAAATTACTTAATCTTTTGACGCAGAATTTTTATTAAAATTTTTTTCATTATTTTGTATTAGTTTGGGACAGAATAAGTGAAAAATGTTATATTTAGCATTTTAATAATTTATGGCTATGAAATGCAGCATGATACACCGGTGTCCTTTTCTGTGTTAAAAGTAAAATCTTCAAAACACGACTCACTTCCAAACAATTATTTTTCAATTTTGCAGTTTAGATCTAAGAGAAACAATTATTCATCATTGAAATTACTTTAATTTTCAAAATCAATTATTGGTAAGTTTTTTCTAACTACTTGTTTTGGATTTTATATTTCAGTACAAATATAATTCCGATAAACTAACAGGTTTCTTTAGTAACTTTTAATCTGTTTTTTATCCTTAAAGAATACAAAAATATATGTTTACTTATAATTAGAGCGTCAGAAAAAAATATTTAAAAGGGACACCGGTGTCCCTTTTGCGTCAGAGTTAACAGTGTATTTTCTATATTTTTCTTTTCACAAGCTTCTTTCCTTTCTAACGAACTCAACCTTTTATGGGGTGTAAGCAGGAAAATTTAAATGCTTAATTATTGATATTTAATTTCTACTCTGAAGTATCTTTTGAAACTTGTAAAATACTGAGTTTTCGTCCAATTTGAGAAATGAAGCGCGTGATATTTTAGAATCTCAATGGAATTTTTTCCCCAAAATTATACAAATCATTTCTGCAATCAATATTTCTAGAAAGGTTCTTTAGTATAGTACTTTAGACTGTATTTAAATTTTTGAAAAATGTCTTGGTTTGTTCGCAATTTACGAAAAAAAATTTTTTTTTCAGCTTCACTCAAATCAGATTTTCATCAACTAAGTTCCACTCCTCCAATGTGCTAATTAATTATTACTAACTATAATATAGAATCGCAGACTCGAAAACTTACTTTCTCTTTGTAAATATACCTTTTTTGTTGTTGTTGACGGATTTGACTGCAAAATTAGGAGAATGAGCAGCAAGCTAGAAAATATAGTTCAATTGTTTAATCAGGAGAGCGGTCAAAAGTTAATATTCGTTAATGTCAAGTTTTGGCGTATTTCGCCATCGCTTTGGAAATTTTCAAGCGAGTCGAAAATTTGTTGCATACAATTATACATTTAGTTTATCCAAAGATAATTTAATTTAAAAAGTAATTTTTAATTATTATTTTAAATAGTAAGGTTCGAAAAATTATGAACTTTTCGGTATATACGAATTTTTACATTACTTTAAACTGTGTAATTTTCAGTGAGAAAATTGGACGAATAGTTTATGAGAAATAGAATTTTAAAAATGAGGCTTTTCTAAAATTTTGTATCTCATAAACTCTTCCATAGACTTCACTCAAATTTTGTCTTTTAAAATTACATACTTTAAGCTGATATTAAATTTATGTTACATACAATTCAAAATTTTTTCGTCTATTAATGAAATATATTAATTATAAAGAGTTAAAAATTATTTTTTGTTTGGAGTTATTTTCGGATAAACGAATTTCATAATTGTGTACCAGATTGTTTAAATTCGTCTTACAAGTTCCCGAACTATAGCGACCTATGCAAAAAGTAAAATTAACATTAAGGGGTTCAAAATTCTGACCGCTCTCTTGACAATACGAGCACGACATCTCCTATGTCAAAAATCCGTATTCGTCGGAAAAAAAGCATATCTATTCTACGAAAGTACGTTTTTATGTCTGATAACGTAACTTAAAATATCATCTGCACTACTTAATTAGCATATTTATGGT